CTTAAGAGAAGGAGGGACATATCTGTCAGACAGAAGAGGGACGGACACAGAGCGTCATCCGCAGCTCAGCTCTCCCACAGGGCCTGTGGCCTGCAGCTGCATTGGGCCCCCATAGCATGGGAGGAAGGTTTCAGGGTTGATTTGGCCTAGGGGAGACAGGTGCATGGCAGGGATTCACACGACACAGAGAGGTGTCCGACAGGGATTTGGTAGATAGCTCAGTGGGTAAAGTGCTCGCAGTATATGCATAAAGACCAGAGTTCACATCTCCACAGTCTACACGCAAAGATATCTGCCACCAAGACTGTGACCTGAGTTCCCACCCAAGACTGACATGGTGGAAAGAGCGAACTGACTCCTCAGAGTTGTCCTCTGACATCCACACATAAGCTATGGCACACACACACACACACACACACACACACACACACACATACATGTGTACACACATGTATACAACACACATATACATGCACACACATGTACACAATACACATATACATGCACACACATGTACACAACACACATATACATGTACACAATACACATATACATGTACACACATGTACAAACAGGTGTACACACACAACATACACATGTGCACACACAATAAATAAAAGGATGTAATTTTAAAAAGTTGTTGAGCACGATGGCGTACCCCTTTAATCTTTACAGTAGAGAGGCAGAGACCGATGGATCTCTGTAAGTTCAAGGTCAGCCTGGTCTCCATAGCAAGTTCTAGGCCAGCCAGGGAAACTAAAAAAATGCTATTTAAAATAATTATAATGATGATAATAATAATAATAACAATAACAATAATAAAGCTAGCAGTATAACAAAGTTCTAGGGGAGGAGCCTCAGAGACAGGTAGTTCCCCAGGGCTCCATGGTAACCAGTCTAGATAAAATGAAAAGAGATCCAAGTTTAGTGGAAGACTGCCACAAAAAAACAAGTTAGAGAGTGACAGAGGAAGACACCCAAAGTTGACTTGTGGCCTGCACACCTGCACACACATGAGCACTCATGTGGCCTACACACCTGCACACACATGTACACTCATGTGGCCTACATACCTGCACACACATGTACACTCATGGGGCCTACACACTTGCACACACATGAGCACTCATGGGGCCTACACACCTACCTACACACATGAGCACTCATGGGGCCTACATACCTGCACACACATGAGCACTCATGGGGCCTTCATACCTGCACACACATGAGCACTCATGGGGCCTACACACCTACCTACACACACATGAGCACTCATGGGGCCTACACACCTCCACACACATGAGCACTCATGGGGCCTACACACCTCCACACACATGTACACTCATGTGGCCTACACACCTGCACACACGAGCATTCATGGGACCTGCACACACCTACACAGCTATGTGCACTTATGTAGCCTACACAACCTGCACACACACATGTGCACTCTTGTGGCCTACACACGGGCACACACACGTGCACTCATGGCCTACACTCATGCACATTGTGCACTCACACATGAGAAAGAAGTCTTATACAAAGGAAGGTGACAGTTATGGTCAAAGTGCCTTTAATTCCAGCCCTGGGGAGATGGCAGAGTTCGAGCCAGCCTGGTCTATATAGCAAAATCCAAGCCAGCCAGGCTACAAAGTGAGATCCTCTCTTAAAAAAAAAAACCACCATTCCTCCGTGTGCATGCTTTTTGTTTGAGGTCGTGAGGTAACAGCTCAGATAGTTGGGGGGGGGGGGGGGCTTCTGCACACCTCCCTCCAAAGCTACAGGCTCTTTCCCAACACCCCAGATCTGCCGGGGATCTGGATTCTCCTGGTCAAGCCCCCAGTTTCCAAGATCCACTCTTCACCAACACAGAGCAGCCCATCTCTCTTCCCCAGCTCTCCCGCCCTCCTCTTCGGCTTTTACTTAGGTGACTGTGCATCAGGACTGATCCATGCAACCTTCACGTGTGACTCTAGCAACATCACGGCCAGAATTCTCTCCTAAGCTCCAACCCAGGAATGAACTGTCCCTGAGGTGTCTCAGGGCTGTCTGTGACACCTCTGTGCCTCATCTGCAGCAGCCAGGAGCTTCTGCTCACCCGGAATTAAACCAGGCCAGGTTTGTTGAGGAGACGTGCCCCTGCTTTGGATCCAAGAGCCTGCCGTGTCTCTCAGCATCACGTCAAGCAGATCCTATGACCAAGGTCCGGAACACTCTATACTCTCAGGATAACAGTGACTCCGTTTATTCATGACAGAGCCAGGGCTGGGCCTACATCCCTTGGAGATGATTTCCCTCTGTCCTGATAGATTTCAAGCCAGAGCTGAGGCCACACGTGAAGGCAGCACACAGCGGGGCATTCATACCTTATCTGTGTGGACTTCCTTTTGTTCTAACAAAAATAACACGAATCTGATGTTCCTTGGTCTGAAGATGGGGGTGGGGTGGGAGTGTGCTATAGAAGATAAGCACCTTCTCAGGCCACCTGTACTAACAGAGTGCAAACCCAGGCAGCACGGGCCCAACAGTGCTCTGACTGCTAGGCCACACTGCCCAAAGCTGAACTTGAGCCTGACAGAAGCAAACTGAGGGGCAGGAGAAGCTAGAAGGAGAGAGGCAAGCCTGTTCTCACAGCTCAGGCCCTAAGTTAGCCAAGCTTGAATCCGGACTCCTCCTCAGCCTTGTCTCTCAAGTGGGTTAAGAAATTCTCTTCTCTGTCGACCAAGCAGTTTTCTATGGATTCAGGCCTGAGACGTCCTCATTGCATATGCCCAGCGTCTGAGTGAGGGGCGTAAGGCCACAAGCAGCAGCCGCCTTTCCTATCTCTCCCTGACCCCTCACTCGCAGCTGAGATCCAAGCTCCAGCCACCTGGCTGGTTTATGACATCACATCTTTGCTGCCTCTTCATTCCCAACTGCTCCTTCAGACTCCTGCCTGTCCCTGCCTCTGGGTGTCAACCCTCTAGGGCCCCTCTGTGGGGCTACACTCCTCCCTCCCCCCACCAGGTGACCGATGTTGGTCAAGCACAGCTGTCCCTCTGTGAGGTGGCCTTCACCAGCTCCCTAGCTGGGGACTCCTGCTTTCGGCTGTCTCCACCCGGGCGTGGCTTGTGGTCTATTTTAACCTCAGTCTTTGGATCCGGCTCTCAAGAGACTGAAAGCTCCCTGAGGGCAGAACTTTCTCCTTTTCTCCTCATGTCCAGTTTCCAGAGCGCACTGAATGTCAGCATAGAGCACTTGTGAAAGGAACAAAGAAATCAAGTGTGTCCCTAGGAGCCCAATGGATCCGCCCTTCCCCTTCCCTTTCCTCCTCTTCCCTCCCATCCTTCCGATTCCTTCCTTTCTGGCTCAGTTACTTCTCTATTTCTATGATAAGTCACCATGACCAAGGCAACTACGAAAAGAAGGCATTAATGGGGCTTACAGTTTCAGGGCGTGAGTCCATGCCCTTCAGGATAGGGAGCCTGGCAGTAGGCAGGCAGGCATGGGGCTGGAGCAGCAGCTGAGAGCTTACATCCTGTGACACATCCACGAGGCAGAGGGAGCAAGCTAACTGGTAGTGCTGTGAGTCTTCTGAAACCCACCCCCCAGTGGTACACCTCCTCCTCTCCTCTTCCAACAAGGCCACACCTCCTAATCCTTCCCAAAGAATTCCGTCAAGAGGAGTCAAGGATTCGAACATGAGCCTATGGGGGCAATTCTCATTCAAACCCTTGCCCTCTTCCTCTCCTCCTTTCTCTGGAAACGGTCAGTGTGGTGATCTGGATGAGATGTCCCCATAGTCCTGGACATTTAAATAGTTGGTCCCTAGTTGGTGGGACTGTTTGCAAGACTTAGGAAGTGTGACCTCATTGAAGGAAATATGTCAGAGGCAGGCTGTGAAAGTTTAAAAGTCTCACACCATTTCCGTGTGTTCTCTGCTTCTTGTTTGTGGTTCAAGATACGAGGTCTCAACGCTTAGCTTCCAGCTGCACTCGCCATCTCAGCTGTGAATCTCTGACATAATGGACTCTAACCCTCTGAAACCATAAGCCCCAAAATAAACTTTTTCTTCTGTAAGTTGCCTTAGTCACGATGTTTTATCACAATAGAACAATAATTAACACAGCCAGGCTTGGGAAAACAGTGTTCTTTGGTAACTGTAGTATATGAAACCTTATAGAGATGGGCAAACACATTATCCACTGGGTCTACACTCACACTGATGGTGTCACTTCTATTTCAAAGATGAGAGGACTGTGTGTCAGGAAGGTTTACAAAACCCACTCTCAGAGAAGTAACTACACACATACACACACACATGCACACACATGAATGTACACACTCTCATACACATA